CACACACACACACACACACACACACACACACACACACACACACAGAGCTTCAAGTGACAAACAAAGCTTCCCATGAAGGAAAAGTGATGAATACATAAATTAGCAGCTCTGTCTGTGTTGATTTTTTTCCTATTCCCCCACTGGTGTTCTGCATTTAATGAAGACAGATGAGACAGTAGGACCCCCGCTGTACACGTCTCCATCTCCTCGAGTCAACAAGCCCATTTGGAAGGGTAATAAGACGGAGCTGTGACAAAAGGAAAGGTATTATCTGACGATGTGAGCTCGTGTCGTTGCCRCCGTTCCCCAGGTGTGCACACCGCTCACCGACGGGGAGGAGCACTACATTCTCATTACAACTCCRCCGAGAGAAGGGGGGACACGGCCTCCCAACACGTGCATTTATTACCTTCAACACGATTACAAAACGAGAGCCCGCCACAGATTAACAGGTGCTTCAATAAGTCCTGAACAATCAGATAAAAAGATGTTTATTATCATCGTTCTCTCATATAAAACACATTAAAGGAAGAAAGGTCCAACATTTAAATCATAACCTGCACCGTCAAAAAAAAAAAAAAAAAGTTTAAAAGTTGTGGCTTCTCCAACAATTCCTGCAGACAACACATACTGTATTTACACTTTTATAGTTTTGCCATTTCTGCAAAAACTAATAAAAAATAAGCAACCTGAGAGATATACTCAATGTTTTATTTTCTACCCTTCAATAAATAACACTTATGCAAATTTTTAGAGAGCTTATTCAGGATCAAACTGTTCTGGAACAAGTCAATCAAAAAAAAAAAAAAACAAATAAAAAAATTAAAACCTAGTCACATCTGTTGATTAAATTGGTTTGTGACTGGAGAGAAGAAACTAAAAGGGCTCAGAAACGGCGGCTGATTAAGTTTAACTCTCAGGCGTCTCGAGACGCTGATCACCCTGAGCTCCAGYGAAGACACGCAGAAGCCAGCTGGACCTGCTCCTCATCCTCCACCTGCCCGTTTCTATTTAAGATTTAGTAGAATCGTGCAGAAATCACAAATCACACAGGGCCGATGCAGAAGAAGGAATAAAAAACAGAAACTGATAGGAATCAGTACCGTCTCATTACTTAAGGACCACGCTGGTGTTAGTGTTTGTTTGTTTGTTTTTTTTCCTCACTGTTTTAGCTCGCCAACTTAAAATCGTGTCTATTTCACTACTGGCCTTTTTCCAAAACAAATCATGGGCTTTTAGATTGATTAATGCGTTCTCTGCTTTCCAGGCAGCTTCTTGGTTTTCATGCATTTCATCATAATATGAAAATACTTGTTCAAGGATGTTTATTCTTAATCTTTTTGGCTCTTTTCGTTTTTGTCAATCACGCTTAAAACCTGCCCGAGTCTAAAAAGACGAGGTGGAACATCGACTTCAACAAGAAAATGCAACTGGAAAAAGAAAAAAGTTTATCAAAACAAGATTTAAAAACTATTTWAAAAAAGGGGATTGACACAATTAGAAAAATCCCGTAAAACCTGCACAGGATCTCCATTAAAATTTAAACAGTCGATGTGTATTTTATTCTTAAAGCTATAGGTCAGATGTTTTGAGGGTAGGGTTCTATGGAGAGGCTATGAATAATTAATATTTTACATGTTATAGATAGCCCTTTCACTACCTTCAGTTTAAAGGAATAGTTTCATTCTGAGCAGACTGATGAGCTTAATGGCTAGTCGGGATTTGGTGACCCGTCTTAAACTCCAATCTAAAAGCTGTTYATAGTGGTTTGTACAGAAGAGGGTTAGGGTCACAGAGCAAAAATTAAAAATAAAAAAATTCTGCGTTCTGACTTTAATCTCAGCATTTTAAAAGTAAAAGTCAGAACTCAGAAAAAAACATTTTTTTGCTCTGAGGCCCCAATACCCTTGTGTAAATTTGTGCAAATTTGCTTAAAATTTTTTAAAAAAAAGAAGTTGAGTAGGTCCTCTGAATGGGTTCTTTTTTTAAAAAACAAACATTTTCTATCTCTGTCCAGAGTTGTCTTCATTATTTTCAAAAAGAACCCGTCCAGAGGACCTACTCAACGTTTTATTTTATTTTATTTTTTTAGGATCTTTCTACCTGGATTACCGAGATGCATCAGAACATTCATCTCCTTTAGTTTTGCTTTACAGGGTTATTCCAACAAAAATATGATATTCCTGCTAGACGTGCTACAGCTAGCTGTAACTGCAACCATTTCCTTTTGCAATTTACCACATCCTTCCAAACAAATGTAATACAATGAGATGTTTACGGAAAAGTAAGGATTATAAAAACCGTTTTTTGCTTGATATGCTTTTAAATTTGAGATTACAGTTGTTTTAGCCCTGCTCAAATTAGCCATTAGCTCATCAGTCTGGTCCTAATTAAGCTTTGTTAAAAGTTATCTGTCACAGGTAAGATGTTAATTGTTTGTATTTTCTATAAAACCTCACATATAAAAAGGTGAATTTTTGAGAAACTTTTGAGAAAAAAATCAGCACACTGCATGAACAGATGGGGACAAATTGCTATAAAAACACATTTAGAAATTGTACAAAATTACAATATGTGTAACTTATTTTCAGTGAGTGTAATTTTGAGTTGAAGGGGCTCATGTGGGGGTTGGCACCAAAAAAAAAACCAAGTGCTTCAAGTTATTTGTGTGAGTGAGCTGAGCCCCACGCAGCAGTACTTGGTTGCTTAAAAGGAATAAAATTCAGAGAGAACCGTCTTGAACCAGACTAAAAATATTCTTTCTCCCATTATTTTTAGCACTTGGGAATGTTTCCGCCCCGAACGTAGTCACGATCGTCAAATTCCTATCTCCTTTTTGATCCAGTCTCTCAGCTTGGTGACGCGTGAGTAGACGCCGGGCTTGTTCCGACGTGCGCAGCCCTCGCCCCAGCTCACTATACCGGCCTGGAACCACTTCCCACTTTCCTCRAAACACACCAGGGGGCCTCCCGAGTCTCCCTGGTGAGCACAATGAGGAGSGGGGAGGGGGAGAGAACAGTCATTAGATTGACTTTTGGATGCGAGGGCACTACAATTACATGGGTGTGGAAGCCCATCTATAGCAGCCCATTTTCATTCCTTTCCTTTCCTGGAGAAAATTGCACAATCTCACCTGACATGCATCGACTCCTCCGGCCAAGAAGCCGCTGCAGAGCATCCTGGATGTGACTTGGCCCTCTGTGACCGTGTCGCAAATCGTGTCATTGATGATTTTCACCGACGCTTTCTGCAGGGCCATTGCCACTTGACCTGCAAAGTGTGATTGGGGAAAAATAAATAAATAAATAAATAAAAAGTAGGGGTCAGCTTTCTGCTACATGACTCTGATCACCGCCTAGCATCAAAAGCAGCCTGGATTAGCGTTAACCAATGCAGATTTTGAGAAACTTCCCAATAGTGCCGACGTCCGTGCCGCTTTATGGATAATGCAAGAAAGCTTAAGTGAAAAAGACTGATTAGAAAAAAAATAAGAGAAAAAGAAGTTGAGATAATGTGTCAGAGAGGTATGTTATGATTGAAAAAAGTTGCRAGGACTTTAAAGTTGAAGAGTTTAGAACGGAGGACACAAATKAACAAATTTCATGGATGGGGAAGTACTGTACTCAGGGCTGGCCAYCGCATAGGCTATACAGGCAAATGCTAAGGGTGCCATCTATCTGGGGGGCACCACAAATGGGCTATGAAACAATTTTTTAAATAAAATTATCAGAGTATAGTTGATTTAGTCTGTAGAATAATCACTGGTTACTCAGGTTGTTCTGTGAGTTTGAGCTGTTTTGTTACTACATGAGGTTATATCATGCAGAAGATATTTCATGATAAAGTATCCAAAGATGAAGTCAAGACTAATTACTGGAGCTCAGTGTGTAAAGAGAAAACAAAATAAGGATAATRGAAGTTTCATTTATGATCTCTGAAAACCAGACTTTACCCTGAACTCTGTCTTCAACCATCATAAAATACTGATTTTATTTTGTTTTAATAACAATAATTAAGTAAAACRCTCTAAAACGGTTGGAAAATGTATAGCTTTGAGTAGATGTTTKGCAAAGTTTTCATTGGGAGTATAACCCTGGAGCCCCCTAGAACTGCTTCACTCCACAGCTCCTGGTTAACATGAACAGGTGTTCCTCATTGCTGTCAGCAGATGTTGGCGGGTACGAAGTAGACTCCTGGTATTCAGTTACCAATGTATTATATTGTTAACTATTTTAATTGGAYAACCTGTTTTTTAAAGAAAAAAATAAATATATTAAAGACAAAGCTAATTATTTTATTTGGTATCTGAATGTAATTTGCAGTGAGATTTAGAAAACCGCACAAGGGGCRCCACATGAAATCTTGCCCAGGGCCAACCCTGAGTATTCTTAATTATGGTGTAAACAGATGGGTTGCAAGAAGAATAAACATATCAAGTAGATAAGTGAGGACTAATAAAATTAAATGATAATAAAAATATAACAATATAGGCTTCATTCCTCTTATTAGTGCTCAGTACCTCCTTCMCGGACGGCCCCCCAGCCTGTGACCCAGCATGACATGCCTGCTGGGAAGACGTGGGAGGAAGACGGTAGGCAGATTGGTTGGATGGTGTTGCTAAACACCAGCGGCTCAGTGAGCTCCAAGAGCGCAATGTCGTAGTCAAAGGTCATCTGGTTGTATGACGGGTGGGTGATGATCCTCTTCACATTACGCTGCAGAGCTTCGTCCACCTTGTACTGGTACTGCAAACCGCTGTATGTTAACCAGTTAGATGGAACCAGGTTGCTGTAGAAGAACGAGATCAATKGGAAGAGAGATGATTTTCAACATGGAAGAACCAAATGTGGGCATAAATGCACAATTGAATAACTATTTGTTTRTACTTGTTAAATAAAACTATTATAGATAGTTCTTGGAACATCGGTTTAGAGAAATGGAGGTTAATTCTAACTAGAGTGACAAGCTAACGGCTAATCTGAAAGGGCAAAAACAAGATGTGAAAAAACTTTTCTGTCGGTGTTTCCTCAACCAAATGCCAACGTTACRTTCAAAATGTTTCAGAAAATTTTCWAGCAAATCCTATTTACACCATTCTTAGTTTCACATTATATCGTTATTTAGATGGACTTCCATAAATATTGCTGTTGTAGCAGCTAGCAGTAGCACTTTTACCAGGGGTCCTTCCAACAGGAATATCATGAATTTTCTGTCAAAAATAACTGATGCAAAAACTGACAGTGATGGGATGAACATTTTACAGATTGGGAATTGGGATCTGAAGCAAAGTTGAGGTCCCAACCCACAGTGGGGTCGTAAGAAATTTATGGGTCGACAAACAGGGCTGTAAAAATACATCGATCTATATTGATTTGAATGGTTCATGATTCAGTTATATCGAGGCTAAATGAAAATATCGATGTATTTCGTTATCATATGCTCAATGTGAATCGATATCATATGCCCACTAACACAGTCATTGTGTTAGATGAGCATATGATATTGCATTATATCGATCGCAGACGTGAATTGAACTCTTGAATCGTATTGTGACAGACTTTATGATAGAGAAATATCGAATCGTCATCTAAACATCGATGTCATATCGTATCATGATAAAGCTGGTGATTTACACTCCTATCGACAAATTGATTTCTTAAAACCATTCCTCTCTCTTATCAAGAATCATGCATGCAGTTCATCAAGCCGCACGAGGGAGCCTGTTGCTCTTTTGACTGTGATCCATTGCAAAACTATTATATTGAA